CCATGAGTAATATGTATAGCTAATTATCAACATAAAAAGACCCCAAGACAGATTAAAGAACCTAGCACAATAATCTTCTTGTTAATAAAACTGCACATAAAAAAATTATAATTAATAATGTTTATAGGTGAACGATAGACAGCTATGAACAGAACATAAAACTTGAATTATTTTAATTTATTCATAACACTAAAAAAATGTCGATTTGTGACTACTGATAAGTATAATAGCGTGATGTTGATGAAAAGAAAGGAATAGAGAAACTTTAAAAGCCATAATCTGTTAGCTACTACTGTGTGTACCTTAAATAACATGTTATTTTAACACTTTACTAACATGCTAGGTTGTTCGGACACTTATTGTGGCTTTTTTTTTTTAATTTCTTCACATTCATTTTTTTGCCGTAAGTCTTTTGTTCGGTTATGAAAAAAAATGGCTGTCGCACGACATCATGCGGAAGTGGTGAAATGTTCATATCCTTTCCAATTCACCAAAAAATTATCCTTGCAAGTAAATAAAAAAATTTGTCAACTTGAAATATCCCCTTCAATGTTTTCCATTGTTTATGCTGAATGTTTCTGGAATTTTGTGAAGCATTTGATTTTTAACGAAAAGTTTTTTTCGTTGAAAAACTTCAATTATTCAGCAAGATTAAAACATTTAGGTAACAATGAACATTGTATAATAAAGTATTCCGTGTTTTAAATAGCTCTTTTTGCCAACGCAGTGCTTCATGCCCAACAGCCGTGATCGTCTAGTGGTTAGGACCCTACGTTGTGGCCGTAGTAACCCAGGTTCGAATCCTGGTCACGGCAATTTTTTTTTTTACTTTTTTGATTTCTTTTCTTTTGTTTCTTTTTTTTTTCATGAAAATTTATTACGCTATAAATGAATTGAGACACATGAAATAAATTTATGATGAGTTATCCAACAAATTATTTCCTTGCATGACATTCATCAAGCCACTATATTTGACCTTTAAAAATTCGTGAAAGTCATAACTAAACAAAAATGAATGAATGTGAATCAATTATATAACAGTTTAATTATATTTATCACATTAATATATAGGTATACATGTGTCATAGCATAAATATCGTATACCGCACACTCTAAGAAAGATAAACATGTAAACTCATTTGTATTCGAAAAAGACAAAATAAAAGCCGAAAAAAATTATACAGTGACAAAAAAAGAATCTGCGATTTCTGTGGAAGTTTTGCGTAGTTGCTCATGTATGTTTATAAATAAATGCAAAAAGAATTTTTTTGCCTATCAAATAATATTTTTTTTTGTTCCTCAATGATAGAAATAACCGGTTCTGTTTTTGTTTGATTCTCTCTCTCTCGAGATTTTTCTTTTTTTTTGTACAGTTGCGTTAGTAAATATTAATAACAAGCCCCCTAATTGTACAAACACTTTTGGAATAAAGAGATTTTTTGATGCGAAAAAATGGTAAGTCTAGCTTAGGCAACAATACGTTCAGTTTTATTAAAAATTTAATTTAACTCCAGCCGCAACTTTTGAATGCTATTTTCATTTTATTTCATGATGAAACACTTAAAATATTTTCAATTGATAAGCAGAGTAAGGTAAATACACTTTACGAATGATAAGACTTATTGGAGGTAATTCTACCGAATTTCTTAATAAAGTGCTTGAAATTACAGGTTTGAAGTGGGTAATAACCGGGTAATTTGGTTGGGCAACAAGCTTAATTGAAGAAAAGAAATGACAATGTAAATTTTAATTAGATATCGATTAAGTACATCGTGAATTATTACATTCAAAAAATTAAAACTCTAATAAGTGTTATTAATGGATGAAAACAAATGTTTCATTTTCCACAATGTTTTCCAAAGAAATGTAAGCGTTTTTTTACTAAATTAAGAAATAGAGCAGATTTGAAACGATGCAATTGATAAATTAAATCAATCAAAAAGTATTAAATAATTCCATTGTCCAGAATTCTTTCTTGATAGTGCAATTACTTTATTAATGTAATATCATTCATGCAGTTACTTTTTTTCAGTCCATGGGCAAAAAAACAATTGCTTCTGTTGACAATTGATTTCAACCGATCACTCTGGGATTTCCAAAATTAATCCTTCAGAACAAAATTTCATCATTCTTGATCTCGAATAAAAAATACACAAATATTACTCATTAAATTTGATTCATTTTGCATTTATAAACAAACCCAAATCTTTGTAAATCACGTGAAATTTGAAATCCCCGAAAGCTTATCACTTTCAGTCAGCGCAATATCAACATAAGTAAGCACGTTGAACTCTTCTTTGACCTTTTTAATCGCCAAAAACTTGAAGTGCTTTAATTAAATCTTTAAATTTTTACATAAATTACTGGTTTTGAATGAAAGACACTACAACAAAACAAAGAATAAAGTCAAAAGCTATCGTCGCGCTCTTGAAAAACTCATCATTTTGGCGATAATGGCTTTATGCCTGGTTTGATGTCAACACTTTATGTCATAAAGAACATCACACGGTGTGATAAGAAAGTAAATGGCGAGGTGATTAAAAATCATTACTTATTAATTGCGATGCAATTAAAAAGTTGCAATAAAGATAATCCTAAATATTTGTTTTGACACCCGAGTGGCACAATTAAAGCTTAGAACTTGAGATTAGTTACCCGGAAAGCACAGTGTGCCGAAAAGCGGTGTCAATATGGAGCACGCCAAGCACCAAATCAAATTTGTGCTGCGGATTCAATCCAACACCGCGCTGGCATGATTTTGGTATGGCACCGGCGTGTTTTAAAAATTGTGACAAGTTCATGCCGGAATGAACTTTTTTATTATTTTTTGACACGAAAATAAAGTGCCAATTAATTGAAAAAATATAAGTGCTTTTTAAAAACAACATTTCTAATTCAGCTATTAAAATTTCGGACCGTTTGGACATCAACCCATATTTTTAACCTTTTTTGGTTCCATTTGCTGTTCAATTAAGTAAGTTTTGGTTTTAATTAAGTGGTTTTTTTTTCATTTGAAAAAATTAAATTTTTTGCAGCGTCCTTTTGGCGTTGTTCGTGATCCGTGCCACATTAGTGCTGTGAGACTATTGAACAAGTGTGGACGAAAAGTTAAATATTTTTTTCCAAATTTAGATATTTTACTGGATTTTCGGACCGTTTGACGTCAAACCATATTCATAAACAACTTTTGGTTCCATTTGCTGTTTAATTAAGTAAGTTTTGGTTTTAATTAAGTGTTTTTTTTCATTTGAAAAAATTAAATTTTTTGCAGCGTCCTTTTGGCTTTGTTCGTGATCCGTGCCACATTAGTGCCGTGAGACTATTGAACAAGTGTGGACGAAAATTTAAATATTTTTTTTCCAAATTTAGATATTTTACTGGATTTTCGGACTGTTTGGACATCAAATCATATCAGTCATATACATGCTTAAGTTTCAATCATCACATACCTAAGATAATCCAGTACGTCTATAATTATAGTAACAATTTTAATAATGTGAGTAAATTTATTTATTGGTGCATAATAAAAAGTAAGCTGACAATGGGGAGATATAATATTTCGAAAATTTTAAGACTATCGCTTGATTATTCCATTTTTTTACTTTATTTAGGATATATTCTTGGAAACACAATTGCTTGACTCAAGTAACAATGGAACTCATCACATGATCGATTCGTTTTCGCCAAGACAAGCCCAGCATATACAACAAGGAAACATGGTTTTGGTATTAAAGGAATCACTGGATTCCTACGAAGAAACAAATAATTCAGAAACTACCTGAAAAACATAAATCAGGGTTATTTGTTATTTGCAACTTTTGATATTTTGAAATAAAACCAATAAAGAAAAATTATTTTTGTTAAATTTCAATTGTTTTTTGTAAATAATTTGGCGCAAATACAGCGCAATTTTTTTACAGGTACCGAATTCGTGCTGGCGTGAAATATAAAGCATGCCGATGTCCACAATATAAAAACAGCATTGATACCGTCTCATAGCTGGAACGGTGCCAGCTTCACACCGAAACTGAGCCAAATTCGTACCGGTGTGAAAAAACATCAACGCCGGTGCTGTGTATGTAGAAAATGGCCGAAAATCCAGTATGAAGACTATCACGTTGCCGGCACGGTGCTAAATTCACACCGGCACCGATTGATCCGTGCCAGGTTGACGCTGTCCCCAGGCTGGCGTCACGCCAGCGTGTGCCTTACGGGTTATCAAAAAAAAATTGTGTTCATTTTGATAATACAAAACATCCGACACAAACAAAATTAGCTGGGAACTCTAGATAATGAAATCACTCTGGGTAATTTGTTGTGGAATACATCCTGTTTTGTGTTGTGGGGCAAATCTTCATCATTTAGTGGATTTTGGTTTTGACTTGAGGCAATTTAGTCCTAAATCCAAAATTATTATTTTTTGAGCACAGATTCTATTTACAGGATTGATGAGAACATGGTGATGAGAACATGGGCTTGCCTAAAAGTCAATACGCATAATTCACAGAGTCTTGATACAACAAAAAATTATTTCATACCGTTTTTGCGAAAGAATTCAAGATTTTGTAAAAAATAGCTTCCAAGTGGCAAGCTCAATATTTCATGCTAGATTTTTATACTCGGGCCATTACATTGATTCTCCTGCTTGATAAATTTATAATTTGTTTAATTGTTGCTTATCAGCTTGTTAATTTTGAATTATATACTATATCGTGTTAATAATTAGCTTTTTATGGGATTCACAAGCTATGAAAATTTTGCATCAAAACTATTTGACGCATCACTTTCGTTATCATTCTTAATTCAGTAAAGGATGGATTAAGTGCATACTGTGTGATATATTACATTCCATAGTCATTGATTAACGTCTGTCCGCAAAAGCTGAAGAAAAATAAAAAAGATTTAAATTGTCGCTGATTTGATTAAAAGAAAATCTCTTTTACTGTATTTGTGATATATTCTATTTGAGAAGAAGCTGCCGAGTATGAATTTTTTTTTTCTTTCATCTTCAGTCTGACAAAATCTCTCGTGTGTTCCGTACGCTTTTAAGCTGAAATTTAAAGTTTTTCTTCTTTCATATTCTTGAATAGGAAATTCTCATCTTCATTTTATGATCATTAAGAAGCTATAATAAGTCGCGGAATATTCATGAAAAAGTGATTATCTAAAAGAAGAAAAAACTTCACCACAGCACAAAAAGTTTTCCAATTTCTGACAAAAAAAAATTCTTGCATCTCAATAAGCAGGATTCTTTTACATAATAATTGTGAAAAGTTGCAACGATAAAGTGAAAATCTTTTAGAGTTTTTTTTTCTTGTGCCTTGAAAAAAGGAGAAGTTCTTACAAAAAAATAAGAAAATAATACAAAGGAAAAAGCTAATTAAAGTGCAGTAAAATAAAGAGCGAAATGTCCACAGCACGAGTTTCAGAGGGGGTAAGTAAAGCAAAGTCAAACTCTCCATGAAAAAATGCCAAATTATTGAACAGTTTTTAAAGCATTAAAAGCGTTGGTACATGAGAATTCCTAATGCGCCTTAATAGCCAAACCAAAATTTTAGAGCAACAATCAATCCAATCCTGAAATACCTTTTCATTCAATACTTTTTTGTCAATCGTCACAATGGCGCTTTATTTTTATTCTCGTTACTTTACAATGTCAAAAAACTGTTTCAATTCCCTTTCGACTAATAGTTTATTACGTATAAAATAAAAATAGAAAGAAAAGTATAAATTAAATTGCAAATTTACTATCACTAACGCCAGCCACATTCTCTGACAATGAAAAAAAAAATTCAATAAATAATGCAATGTAATTTGAAGAAATGAATTGCAATTGTTATTCGCATACTTTACGACATTACTGATCAGATCTTAATTTAAAGATAAATTTTGTTCAATGTTCAACGATATGATATTCTGAATTGCATTTTAAATTAATTTAGAGAAATGTGCAGTTTGAATGCGTATATAAACTGCCTGTAGTAAAACCGAATGAGATTTATATGAAGTATGAGGTAGAGTATGAGTTAATTGAATAATTACAGTGTGTAAGGAAATTTTTGTAGATTTTTCACTTCCGATAACCCCACATTATGTCAATTTACTTGATTCAGCAATTTCTGCTAGATGTTGGAGTTGTTTTGCACAGAGAATTTAAATTTTGAATTGTTCATTAAGAATTGAATTTTTTTCTTCCCGAATTCTTAAATTAAAAAATTGATCTTAAGGTTTGCACACACAAATAGAAAATAATAAAGTTTATGTAGCCCACCCAAACTGTTAACAACTCTTAAAATCCATTGTGAATATTTCAGGTGCTAAAATTCATAGTCAATATTGATACACATGTTCCTAAGGTGCTAATAAATTACTCTGATTTCTTTTTCTCGTGCCACTCATGTTTACTACAAGCTATCATTGACAATCATTGAATAAAATAAATTATAGGTTTATGTTACAAACTGGAGCAAGTACTGATTAGCTTAAATGAAATGAAATGATGAAAAGTTTTTGACCTTCTTAAAGATTCATTCACATGCCTGATGATTGAAAATTGACTGTAGATTAAGATATTTTCTTAGGATATTAGCAGGGGTGTAGTTTGAAATGTAACGAAATAGCTTCACATTTAACTTAATCTGATGTCTCATAGCAATGAAATTTTCTGTTGAGTGAAAGTGACTATAACATCTTTTCCTAAAGACGACTCTGTATTACACGTGTTTATATCTATTCATAAAAATTTCGATAAAAATTCGATGAAGAAAAGAAAAGAGTTTGTTTTTCTCGGCTATTCTTAGATTGAAAGGTCGATACATAACAACATGACCATGCTTATGCGATGGGTGGAATTTCAATGAATTTTATTACTCGATCTCATCTGTTTGTAAAAATATTTACTTTTTCACTTCTTACTTTAGTGTTGCTAAATAGCCCACGTGTAGTCATGAACCTGATGTCAGACATATCCATGACGCAATTTTGTTACTTAAAAAAAGGATAATATTGCAAGTGATTGCACAATTTCCATGAAAATTGCATATGGTGTTCGTCAAGCTCTGCCATTAAATAATCATATGTGTATAAAATTTTGTCAGTCTGCTTCATTCCAATTCAGTAAGATGACACAAATATAAACTATAAAGTCAAAAAGAAAATTGTTTTTCAAAAATTAATCAACGACTGTTGCTAGGGAAATTTCCTCAATTTTCTTGTTTTATTTCGTTTTATTCAATTCTACTTCTCAAGTTTATGTCATATCCGATTCTCGAAAATTGAGAACAATGAACAAAAAAATTGTTTCGTCATACATTAATTTAGTTTACGGATTATCTTTTTTATTATATACAGAAAATTCACGAAACAACTAATTTAATATGATAAAACAAAAGATGATTGTGCCCACTTAGGGCATTCAATAAATCAGAGCTAGAGTGCTCACATGATAAACGCACAATGAAAACCTCTGAATGCTAGCCCTCATTTGAAATACCTTCTAATATTGGTAGCGAAAAAAGCACGGATGTATTTCATTAAAACTTAGTCGGTATACATTTACAATTGCACTTAAAAGTATTTACAAGTTAATTGGTGATCTATCGCAAGTTTATTGATTGCAATAAAAGAAATATATACTTGTTGTCATAATAATTATGGTGCAAAATTTTTGAAAACTAGTTAACAGAATCAACGTTTTGTCTTTAAATAATTTCACAAAACCATGTTTTGGCTATTAAAAGCCAATAAAAATTTTCCATACCATATTTAACATTCATAAATTCATCTGGATGTTCAATTTTGTTTATTTAGAAATTCTCAAGTTCCAAAACTGAGTCATCAAACAGTTGTTTATGAAATTCGCCGATTGGCTGAATTATGTGTTGACAAAAGTGTTGAAAATATTTGCAGGAATGTTTTTGTAATTTTTTGAGAAGATGAATTATCACAATTAGAGGTGCTGTGTCATGCTTTTTATTGACTTCCACTGAGGAGCAAGTTTGAAAGATTAACAAGAAAACGAGACTAAGCATTAGATACGTAGGAGAAATCCAAATTAACTTGGACGTTTCAATCTTTGCGGGAAACCCCAGAGTTTTTATTCACACATTAGCATCCAATGTAACACATAAAGCAAAGTAAATTGAACATAATTAATATTATACCTAAGCTACTTTAGCTCTATTGGAAAAACCATACTCGAGAGAAATGTAATAACACTGCTTTCAATGTACAAAAGTTTCATACTTAACAAACCATTAATTTTCAAATACTCTCCAATCCAATCCACATTTTGAATCAATATTAATTAATATTTTATTAATAATCGATCATAATCTATAAATGCACTTTAATCATCCGTTTGCGATGACTTGTTTACTCATTTGTTTACTATATAAGTATAAGAACAAACTTAGTAGTATCGTCAATAAGTGGATATGACGTTTAGTTTGTTTTTTGTAAACGCAGAACATTCAGAGTCTAATTAGTTGTCAATTACATCAATTGACTGCTCACAGTGTTTTAATTTGGCGTATGAAAATAACAATTACGCTCAACATATCATTTGCCCTTGATAATGAATATTAAGGCGTCAATCAGCTGTTGATAAGCATTGAGGCTGTTTAGTCTTCTGAATTTTTATTCCTTATACTTACAATAATTTTGTGCTGATTTCTTGGAACTAAGTTTAATAACTTCGCAATAACAAAAAATGAACTTTGGAAAAATAAAATTATTGTTTTGCTAGAAATGATTTCATACGGCCGTGCAATAACAAACTTATCGCAGTTCTAATGATATTGTAATACAAAACTTTAAAAATCCATTTTAAGAATCATATCACAAACTCTTTGTTCCTTAATTATGAAACGCGTGCCAAATTTTGAATTGTGACAATGAAAGTTCCACTCACATTACAATTGAAATCATCCAGTCAGTATACTCATGCGTGCTTTTCAATTAAGACGTCGAAAATTGAGTCATCAAATATAAATTTAATTGACTTGCATGCCACAATCGAATCAATTTAGGAATAAGGCGGTATTGTGATGATTACAATTGACCCTCACACCCCTCTGTATCAAAATTAATTCGATTGATATGATTTTGTGTCAAAAGTGATATAATATTTATATCATAATAAATTCATTTATTGTTGCCTCTGGTCATTAACATTTCAAATTGGAAAAAAAAAATTTTATTAGTTTTATATATTTTGTCAGCATATTTGATTTTTAAACAACGCTATCCGATTTCATTGTCATTTGTTGATTCTCGGAAGACTTAGTTCTGTGCTGTGTATAGGAAAAAAAGAAAGAAAACTGAAAAGGTGTTGACATTGCAAGGCAATGTAAAACTTTTATATATTGAGTTTAATTTCTAAAAAATTTATGTAAAGTGCTAGTTTGTCAATAATTTTGAAGGCATCAACTTACAGATAGTAACAGATAGTTAATTAACAGTAAAATTTTAGTCATCCATAAATTTTTATGAGTTTTAATGATGTCATTTTATAATTATATAACATTTTTTCAAATTTTGAATCATAATGCGATGTGTGAGGAAATGCACGTGCTACATTGAAACAAAATATGTTCGGTATCACACTAGCAAAGTTGGCGGTGGTTTTTTATAGTTCTCTTCTTTCACAGAGTGCTACTCATAAGCAAATTCAAACATATTCAGGTAATCCTAAAGCTTGTCACTTAAAATCCAATTTTGCAATCAAAACCACACAAACTCAAGGTGTGCTGCTTTAAAATGTTAAACGATTCTTAATCGAAAATTCTCATTTTTTGTCAAAACAGACCAAAAGCCTGACTCGAACCTGAATATTTAAGATCTAAAGATTATCTAAAATTAAACAAAAAATGTCATTAAGGCCAAAGATATATGTTACGACTGGAAAAAAAATCGATACTTGGTATACAAACTGTATTGCAGTCTTTAATTAAAATTTAATAAATTAAAAATACAGCTGTAAATATTATGCAAATTACTTTATAGTTTTAAGTCACATGTCTTGTCGATTTTTTATATACAATGAATGAGTATTTTATGGCTTTATTTTTATTTACACCGTTTTTCTCACGAGTTTTTGCTTTTGTGTTGGTGATGAGATATTTAAAGAATCACGAAAAATTTTCTTGTTTGAGAATTTTTGTGTTTAAAGGATGAGTAAAATATTGTGAATATTAACTCATGCTTTTTGAGTTTTAGGACGGGTATGAGCAAAAGTTTAACTGGTAAAGCTAAGTTCTTTGTTAAAGAGCTTTATTTTGGGCTTTTTCTTACATTTATCAATACATACCAAAAAAGAGAAGCAATTCTTTCAACAAGAAGATGATTAATTACAATACGACTCAAAAAATGTGAAACGTCAAACATTTGACGCACAAACAACGTAAGGGGCCATTCACTTATTACGTAACGCTT